CTGCGCTCACCGGCCGGCGGCGAGCGAGGTTCCTCTGCCGGCGGTCGTGGGCAGGTGTGAGCGGTGGGCGCCTCGTAAAGCTGGGGTCTGGGGCGGGGGTGTCTGTGGGGCCGGTGTGGCTCCCTGCGTGTCTGCCGTGGTGGGTAGAGCTGCACCTTGTGTGCGGTGGAGCAGAGAGGCTGCTGGTGGGGGAGCCGCCCCGGGAGCCTGCGGTCAGGAGTGGAAAGCCGAAATGGCCCTCCAAGGGAGCAGAAGGTGCCCAAAGCTGTGCGGGAGGTGCAGAAACCCGTGGTGATAGGTGATGGCGCCTCTCGAGCTGCTGTGCTGCAGGCTCGAGCAAGCTCTCGGTCTTCATTCTCCCAGCACCCTTCTGCATGCCTGCTGCTCTGAATTTGATGAACCATTGGAGCTTAGCCGCAGCCTTTTGCATGAAATGGGAGCTGGGTTGAAGGTGAAACGCTGGTTACAAAACCTGGTATGACTTGCCTGTTTGGACATGAACTCCTAACTGCATGTGAAACACCTGCCTATACAGATTTCTGTTGTTATGTGCTTGTTATACATCTGTTGCTGATGTCTGCTGTAGGACTAGGTGCTGTTGAATCCCTCCAAGGACTTTGCACTTACAGCTTGGAGAACAAAAGAAAGCAATTTTCTTCAGATAACGTCGTTTGCAAACAAATGCAGGCTTTAGATTCACCTTAGGACAACGCATATGTGCTACATTATCTGGACTTTGTATAAGAATTTGCAGTTGTCTTACAAGCACATGAGTTCTACAACAAAATAAGTAAGTCTTACTCATTTTTAAATATGGAAAGAATATGTTGAGGTGCAGCCAGTGGTATTAGTGCAGTGTTTGGACACGCTGCTCAGCTGGCATTGGTGCTGATAGCTCCCCGTAGCACTGGGGTCCTGGGAGATTGCTTCCATGGTCGGTTGGTGCAGCTCCTGGTATCGCCACAGCTTTCGCTTCTGGCTGCAGTGCAGCCAGTGCTGCGGCATGCGTGGAGGCGAGTGCCTGTCCTAACAGCACACGGCTCGACGCTGGCACAGCCGCAGGCGGGAACCACTCAAGTTGTGCCATACTCTTGCTATAAATTCATCAGTCCCTAGGGAGTTTTTGCATTTTTCTTTGTGTTTAAAGTGGAAATTGTTTTTAAGGAGAACTGTCAACAATATAGTGTAGCGACTCAACAGAAAAACTGCCTCAGAGGCACAACTCTCAGTTGCTCGTATCGCCAGGCGGTGTTGGAGTACAGCTGAGAGGGGCTGTTGGGCGCATGCTGTTTGCTGTAGCCTGGCTGGGCAGCGGGAGAGCATCCCGCGGCAGGGAGGTCTGCCTGCTGCAGCTCCCTTGCTGCTGCCGGCTCCTGGGCAGTTTTTTTCCGGGTATGTTTCACCGTCCATTTCAAAGTCAGGTTGCTTTGTTGGTGGTCAGGAGTTTTGTTAAGAAAACCAGGCTGGTCTCAGTAACTTTTTTCTGAATATTTTGAGGAACTTTCACACATTTACTGATGTGCTGCCACTTCCCTTGGCAAGGTGCTGGTGCCCTGCAAGCCTCTCCTGCCTCTGGCCCTTGGACATCACCCTCAGGAAGTCATACCAGCTGCATAAGGAAGAAAACCTGAAACACTTTGACGGAGTGCTGGAAGGAATGTCACCTGTTCATTCACTGATCTGAAGAGGAAACACATCACTTTTTGGCAGTACCAGCTGAGGTATTCCTTATCCTAAATTCAGTTTCAGTCAGAAAAGATACCGGGTGTTGGGGTTTTTTTGCTGTGAGATATAACAAAAGTTTGCCATTCCTTCAGAACTGAACGGTGTGGAAAGACCTAATGAAATAATGTGCGTTAACTTATCTAATGTGGGTTATAGGCAACATTGGAGTAATTAATTTCATTAGTCCTGCTATAATCAAAGACATGCTTCAGAGACTTGTTTTACACAAAAAAGCTCTTATGTCCCAACTGTCAGCAAGAAAAATTATCTTCCACTACAAATGTTGCTGAAATATGGGAAAATGAATCAAATCCTTAGGAATTCTTGCTTAACAAGTTCTGCTGAAAGCAAAGGTGTTAATACCTGTCAGAGCCAGAGCTTGACTTTGATCCTGCTTAAGCAGGAGTAAATTAGTTCACCTGGCTGATGCCGCTGGAGTTCTGCCAGCACGGGGTAAATGAGATCAAATGTAGGATCTTTACAGGAACTGGATAGGAAAAGATTGGAGTAATTCCTTGTGAGGTTTTTTTTCCGTGGTCACTTCCAAATTCTCGAGGCCAGAACGAACTTCCCTTCGCTGATGTGGTCCTTGTCATTCTCTCATGCGCTTTTCTGGGGACTGCTACCAGGCATTGGGTGACGTTTGCATAGGACTCGGTCATAATTCCAAAGAGGTCTTCCCTGGACGGATGCAGTTAGGACTGTTTCCTCCCTATGTATTATTTATTCACACCAAGCTTCATCTGTCACTTTACATGTATTTTTCCACTATCGTGAGGCTCCCTACCGCTGAATAACTCAGCAGACTGTATCACCTCACAACTCATTGCCTCTTCCAAATGGCAAACATCTTAATATTCAGCAAAGCCGTATGCGGAGCTAGTATTTTTCTTGAGTGATTCAGACAGAAGGTTCTGGTCGCAGAGGGGGAGCTGCAGGCAGATTCAGCTTCAGTGACAGACTGTGATTTCAGTTTGCATGAGTCAGGCTGTCATTGTTGCCCCTGGGACTCACCCAGTTCTCCTCATCCCACCGGTTCTCCTGCTTGTGCTGCAAAGTGGCCCTCTCCGGCAGCAGGGCTGGGAAGTGGCGGGGGCGAGCACCTCAGGCCCTGTGGCGTCCTGCCACTCGCCTGGGTGAGCTAGCCTCACCCCTTCCCCTGTGCCGGGGGAAGCCCAGCAGACCCAGCAAGGCAGAGCACGCAAAGTAACCGGGAAGCAACAGCTACTACCACGCACACGCATATTAGCACAGCATGCTATGCAGTGTAGTTTTTGCAAAATATTTATTACAAAATAAACGTAAATATGGCAACAAAACTTAAATAGCAAATGACACGACACTGGCCATAAAGCTCTTGCTATATTATTAGTTTTTTACAATAATCAATAGTCAAGTATGTCTCCAAGGGAAGCTGCATGTGGACAGCTTGAGTATATTTCTGTATTATTGGCTCTAGCTGTTTGAGATACATTAGATGTGTGCCTCCTGCTTTCACCTGTACCCGGCTGTGAGTGGTTGTGCCGTGTGCTGGGCTCACTGATCCCCCTAAAACAGACAGGAGCTGGCAATTCCCATGCTCTATGAAACCTGCCATGCTTTACCCCAGCCGCTCCTCCCCTTTTTTCTTTTAAAAACACAGCAAATGATCCAATGCCCATCCCTTTTTAATAAGGTAGCAGGAAATGGAGTATCAACACTGAAGTAACTATTGCTCCCCTTTGAGTCACAACTTTTCTTGTGAGAGGTTGCTTGGATTTCTTTCCTCTCTCACCTACTAAAAACTGTTATTAAAGCTCACCAGTGAGAAAGCAAGTCTGTGTTCCCACTGAAAGGGCTTTTAGGTGTGCTCCAAACAGGAATGCAGTCCTTCAAGTCTCTTAAGCCACATGTCTAATGGAAGCACTCTTTAAATAACATAAAATATAATTAAATTAATAAAGGTGACTGTGTGTGGGGAATCTTCCTAAGGCACCCAAGAATTTAAAAAGACCTTTTCCCACTCATATAGCTTACAGGACACTCTTGTTCCTCTTCTCTCCAAAGTTAAAAATGTTGGCTAGTTAGGAATCTTAGCATACATCATGACATAGTTGAATATCATTTAAAAAAAACAGAACAAAAAGAAAACCCTTGGTGAACGTAAAGCACTATGTCCAGACAGCCTAGGTTTTGCTAGCTACACAAATACATCACGGACAACATGTAGAAATAGTCACATTAATGCCAAGGTTTCCGTTGTCGGCAAAAAGGTGTGCTATAGCTGTGTCAAAAACTAGGCAGTCGCTGTTCCGAATGGCCGCAGACACCCCATCATGGATGGAGTGGGGCGTTGCCTCCCAGGTCAGCCGGCGGCGGTTGCCGTTCAGCTCCAGTCTGTACGCAAAGTTCTCCGCTTGCTTACGGGTGCCAATGAGCAGCACGATGGCAAAAAACTGCTGGTGACCTTCGTACTTCTCTTGTTTCTCCAGCACCAGCATGAAGTGGTGACCAAAGCATGACTGCATCATCACCCAGTCAACCGCCCCTGGAAGGTTAATGTCCGTAGCAAGAAAAACGATGTCTTCTCCCTGAAGAGTGGTAATGCTTTTGTGGGCGTGCATGAGGTGGGACATCACGGCTTCCAAGGATCCCTGCCATTTACAGGTGGCACCAGGGCACGGGCAGGAGTAGGGACGATACTCACAGATGTCTTCGTGTGCTGGCTTTTCTGTGTGATGGAGCGTCAGAGAGCAGCCTGTTGTGGCATACTGGAAAAAGACCAAATACAAGCCGTCAGGAAAGGCACCAGCACTAGTGTTTGCTGCTCCCACCTGTCAACTGGAAACACTGGTGATCAACAGGACTCTTGTTCTCATTGCAAATTTTACATTAGATACTTCTATTTAGCCCTGGATTCAGAGCTGAGCTCTACTTATTTTTGTTTCCACTTAAAAATGGATTCTTCTTGTCTTTTGTGGTTGTTTTTTTTCTAATGCAAGCACTTAGATAAAATGGATTGTAAGGCTGAGTTGTAATTAGATCTGCTGTTGTAGTTAGATCTGATCAGTCCAGATCAGCTGAAGTGGTCCTGGTTTGGATTTTTCTTTTCTTTAAAAAGAACAAAGGATTCTAGTTTCAGCAAACAGCTACTAGAGTGAAGTATTTTTAATACATGTACCTTACTACCATCACAGAGCAAAAGCACTTCCCTTAAATTCAAATGCAGATTCCCCACAGCTTTTTTTAAACACTGGAACAGTTTCAACACTCCAGTTGTGAGAAGTAGAAAGAGAGGACAACTTTTCACTGAGCATAAAGCTAGCGCACTAGTAAGTACCATCTAACTTCTCTTAACATCATTGGGCACATTAGAGGGTTAATTTGCTTTAAACAACCAGGGATGCTTTTCCTTTTTGTAATTCAGTTGTCCACACTGACCGTATTGCTTCCACGCTACCTCCATAGAGAGAAAAAAAGTCTCTCCTATTGTCCCCAAGAGCACAGCTCCCCGAGTCTGTAGGTATCTGTAGCGATACCAACACCACTGCTAACACTATCATGCAGGTTACAACACGCGTGCATGGCTGCTTACGGACACTATGACACTTCCTTGAGGACACATATAACCAAGGTATAAATGATTATTTCTGGGCTAATACGTGTGCAGGAAGTTTCAGCTCAAAGGGTTAAATGCCCAAGATGCAAATTACCTACGCTGCAAACACTAGGAATGCTGCGCTAGGAGTACTGGGACAGAAACTCGACCTTGTGCTTCTGGAGGAGCTTGTTTTATAAGCCATAAAGAGTTAACGTGAGCCTTCACGTACTGTGTCTGTCCCTGCTGCTTAATCCTCTGCTAAAACGGCTTTATTGCAGGGCACTGCAGTGGAACAAGGCGTTCTCCTGCCAAAGGCAGAAGCCCCATCATGGCAAACATGCTGTCTGCCACGCAGGCTGCCCTGCTGCGTAGCGCAGCGATCCAGGTACGTGTACACTTCCAGCCCTACTGGCCTGCTGATTTTTCCCACATTCATACCGCTGTTAACACTTCCATCATGCAATGTGTTGAAAAGCAGCTCTGAGTCTAACCTCATTAACAAAATTAGTAAGGATATACAAGCTGCTGGTTGGGCGAAACCAGATGTCTACGTGAAAGCAACCAGTGGTGACTATAGAAGTGAGAGCGTAAAAACAAGACGAGCAAATAGTGGTGGCTTTGCCCTTCACTGTGAGAAGTACCTGCTTTTGTGTGCTCCCAAACCCATCACTGTGGGTTTCATTTGGTGAGGAGCCCTACCAATGATGGGAGACTGTGAACAGCAAAAAGTGACTTGCCATCTTCATGCTGCTTGGGCAAACGTCATTGATCTTTATCATACCCCTCAAAAGCCTGCTTTGTCTCTCCCCGTGTACAGGTTATACAATACCTTTGAGCTACTTGGCCTGTGCACCTTTTCCACTTCTACTGCGTCCGCCTTGAGATGGGGAGCCAGGGCTGCGCACAGTGTTAACAGTGCAAGCGTGACACTAATGCCTGGGCTGGCGTGATTGTTTTCTGCTTTTTCATTGCCCTTCTCATCATTTCTAGTATTCCATGCTGTAAAGTATTATGTAGTCATTTTCATAGTCATTTGTTTAGCACTGTATTCTCTTTCCCAAGAGGAAATGGTCAGCTCAGAGCTCATCACCATATACATGACGTAGCATGCCATGTTTTTGCCACGTATGTCACTCTGCGTGTGCTGCTCTGAACTTCACTTTGACAGGATAGCTTTCTGAGTGTCCTAAAGCATTCAAAAAATATCAGTTAAGCTTGAAAGTGCTCAGCAGAGGCAGGCCACTATTATCAACCCCGTAAACGAAGGGAGGCAGGGACACAGGATGAAAGTAACTTGTCTGAAGCCACGTGGGAAATCAGTAGCAGAGCTGGGAATTGACTGCCAAGTCCAAATCCCTCCTGCTCTAGCCAGCAGACTCTCCCTCTAGTATACAAGTAGCTTGAGATACAAATAATGCTTCTGGAAAGAAGAGGCTTGCCTGCTCCTGAATGTGTGGCAGCAGTGTTCAGGGACCCAGCGAAGACTGAGACCCTCTCGTGCTTCTCCCTCCTCCAGTGCTTTGTAAAACGTCTGTCCCTGCTTTTAAGATCCCTCCAGCCTTCCGAAGCATTCATTCAAGCTTGGGTACAGATGCTCAGCCCAGTCTAGCAGTGATCCTAGGGAGCTCCCCCAGGGATGCACAGTGAGGTCTAGCCCAGAAAACAGCGAGCCTCTGTGCCTTCCAGAGCCTCGCACCAGTGAGGAAACCGGCTCAGGCCACAGCCAGCTGCCCGGCAGAGTGCATTTATAAACTCTGCTCTGCCAGCAGTGCTGGGTCTGCTGTTATGGCTCACCTGGGAAAGGACCAGAGAGTGTTGTGTCATTTCATACAGAGCATGCGGGCTCTATGCACATGTGCAGGTAGGGTGATGTTGATACCTAATATAAAGAAATACTGAGGAGACATATGGTTCTCTTTGTCAAAACAAAGTAGCTAAACGTTCCGTAGACTGGACATTCCATAGATAAAAGGAAGCCTTGAAGCTCCGTGTACAGGGGTGGAATAGATAAGGAAGTTATGCTGAAACCAGCTAGTTAGTGCAACTGGGCCAAAAGACAAACTGTGCAGGCGAAAAGACTGAGTTCAACTAGCGGACACGGTGAGGAAGACTATCGACGACCACCAGAGGACCCTGAAAGACCACCAATGAACATAAAAGCGCATGCGTTAAAGACTTTTACATATGTTAATGAGTCCAAGGAAATAACATGAATATGCTAATAATTTCTCAGAAATCAAATGAATATGTATATTCTGATTGTACATAGCTCCTGTAGTTGAGCAGCTTGGCGTGCACACTAGGTGGAGTGATCCCCTGTGTGCCCGGCGCCGCAATAAAGAATGCCTGCTTTCTAAAACTCCAAATTGAGTCTTAGAGAGTTTTTAATCTGCCGACTTACGGTAACAGTTTTGGCGACCCAGATGGGATACTGCTCTTGAGCCTCGACGGATCCTGGGATCGCGGAACCTCAGCCGGCACCGAGGGATTCTCGGAGAGGACTTCTCTCGATCCCCGGACCGAAGAGCCCCTGAGAGAAGAACACTGCTTTGTGAGTAATAAGGCATTCTTTTGGAAATTTTGGAAGGGGTTAGAGTCCCCGCTACCTGCCCGTCAGACGCAGCAAAAGCTCCACAGGGTTGGGTTTAGGACCTGGGCAGGGGTTAAGAGTCCCCGTTTGGTTAGCAACCGCGGTAACAGTTATTGTAAATGTTTGTCTATTATTGTAAGTATTTGTCTGATATAGTAATTAGTTATTTGTGGTGTTGTTGCTGTACAAAAGGCTCGTCTGTGTGTGTGATTCCCTGTTATTGTAAGTATTTATCTGTTATAGTGATTAGTTATTTGTATTATTGTAGTTATTTGTATTATTGTAGTTATTTGTATTGTTGTTGTTGTTGTACGAAAGACTTGTTTGCGTGTGTGATTCCCTGTGTACAAAAGGCTCATCTGTGTGTGTGTGATTCTCTGTGTATAAAATGGGTGCCGGATCATCCACCGGATCATCTACGGGTGGGGGAATTTTAAAGAAATCACCTTTGGGTTGTATTTTAAAGCACTGGAAACAAATTGCAGGATCCTCTGGTGGGGTCGCAAAAAGGGACGATCTAATTAAGTATTGTAATCAATGGTGGCCACTATATAAACTAGAAGATGGAGAAAAGTGGCCAAGGAATGGTACTTTGAATTATAATACTCTGTTACAACTAATGCTGTTTCTAAGGAGAGAAGGAAAATGGGATGAGGTATTGTATGCTGATATGTTCTTTACATTAAGGCAGCATCCTGAGCGGCAAAAGGAGTGTGGAATTAATTTGGCCCCAACTGATCCTCTGGTATTGGCATGGGAAAGGAGAAGCGAGAGAGAGAAAAAAGGGAGAGGGTTAAAGAGGTGTTGTTCGGCATGCAGTATTGGACAGAGATGTTTGAAGTTGACCCAGAATGAGCAGGAAGAGGATTTAGAGATGTTAGTGGCTCCAGGGTTGAGGCAGAGGCCTCAGAATCATGAATTGAGCCCTTTGGGGCAGAGGGTGGGTTGGAAAATGAGTCAGAGAGACGTTGCAGGGGCTACGCCGGTGGCAAGGAGAACTCATAACCAACAGGGAACCGCATTGCAAGCTCCGTTGAGACAAGCAGTAGGGCATGATGGTCCGGTTGTAGTGAAAGTGCCTTTTTCGATTACAGATTTAAACAACTGGAAAGCAGCTGCTGGTAGTTATAGGGATGATTCTGATCAAGTGGCTAGTGCCTTTGAAATGATAAAAACTCAGGATCCAGATTGGAAAGATATCAAAGTTATCACGCAAGTATTGTTTGATAGTACAGAGAGGGAGATGGTTCGTAAAACGACAAGGACTCAGGTTGAAGCCCAAATCGCGGCAGGGACATTACAAGGACAGTTGCAGCATCATTTTCCCTCAGTGGATCCTGGCTGGGACCCTAATGGTAATGGCCAGAAATTGTTATTAACGCAATATCAGAGGTGGGTTCTGTTTGGTATAAGAAATGCTATACCAAAAGTGATAAATTGGTCAAAATTATACGAGATTAAGCAGGATAGAAAGGAGTCTCCCACCGATTTCCTAAATAGATTGAAAGCAGCTGCTCAGAAGTATACAACTCTGGATCCTGAATCAGAGGAAGGGAGGAATCAGTTAGCAACTTTGTTTATCGGGCAGTCTGCTGATGATATCCGAAGAAAGCTGCAGAAATTACAAGGGGCAGATGCCAGGAACCCAGGAAAATTGTTGGATGTGGCTTGGGGGGGTTA